AATCGTAAATTTTCGTAAGTTTACGCTCGCGTAAAAACTTGCGGAGGTTTACGCCTATTTATTTTTGCTGATGTATACTGATACCTACCAAAAGGAAACAATACATATTGATGCTTACCAAAAAAGAAACAATACATATTGATAGATACTGAAATTATAGTAACAGCAATACATTTTGAAAAATTATCAATACTTTTTTTTAAATATATTCTAACTTAAAATGGTTACCTACCTCCATCAAAACTTTTATTGATCCAATGCAACCTGATTATCAGAGTCTGATATTATGGAGATTAGAGATTCAAGAGGAAAAATACCAAATGCATCGAAAAAAATGGCAGAAAAATTTCATATTGGTGCTCGTCGTGTTTATGAAATATGAGAACATATAGACCATCTTCAGCAGGGTCTTGATAATTGGAACGATTCTCCACCTTCTGATCCAAATAAAGATTTTACATTAGATAAGCCTCACACTAAAGAGATTTCAGCTAAGGAGACATTGACAAAAAAGATTAGCCGGAAAAAGAAAGTTAGTATAAATAAGGTAGAATATGATACCAAAGTTTCATCACATATAGTAGAAAAAAATATCTCTTCTATAGATAATGCACAGAGTATACAAACTTTGTCTGATATATTTAGAAGAAAAGCTGATCTTGAAAAATTAATAAAAGATACTGAAAAATTAGCTCCTATGTGCCTGTCTTTGCCTCAGTAAGCTAAGAGCATCTTTCTGCAAGAACCTTACCTGTATTTAGAGCTATATCAAGCCACTCTTCAGTTTTTATGAGTCACTTTTCAAGTGAGTCGTATTTTTTTTTAAGTCCTCACCATCATACATATCTAATACTTGTTGCTCTGGTTCGCTAACCTCTGGAGGCTTACTAAATGTTGGGATAATATAGGTCTTTCCGTGTATTTCTGTACTAAATAGATTTTTATCTGCATCTGGAACACACTTGGCTTTTCGAATCCATGCCATACCTAAACAAACCATAGGTTCTGAATCTCCATTATCAATACATGCAAAATTTCCGGAAACAGTAACAAGTTTTTCTTTCTTATCTTTTAAAGAGATTGGTACATTTTCATACCACCCTAATGATTTATTGATATGTTCTGAATTACCTTTATATGGAAAAGTTGATAAATTGTCAGGTTTCCATTTCAAGACTTTACCAAATACTTTATTTACAGCATTGAATTCACTACCTATATCTAGGTAAGTATTGTAAACCGTCAAATCATATACATAGCAAACTAAATATTGGAGAGACTCAAACTATTCATTTGCTTTCTTACTATCTATAAAACAATCCTTGGATCTTTTAGCAGTACATGAAAATTTACATATTTTTTGCATTGCTGGTGATAACGAATTCATTAGTTGATTATAAGTTTTGGGTGGCATATCAACATATGACTTATTATCTATTGCAAAGCGGGCTGTTAGGCGATTCTTCAAATCATGGCTCTTCGAGCCTACTGGTAATACCTGTTTTTTTTTTCTGTCTGATATGGCGCATTCCATCTATTCTCTTCCTCATTATATCTACCTTTATCATCCTCATCAATATCTTCTGAATCGGGAGGTGTGTATTGGACTTGAGTAGGCATTAGTGGAGAAAAGTATCAATGCATAGAATTTAATTTAGCTACGGGTTTTTTGGGTTTATTATCAAGCATCATCCTCCCGAATTGAGATGTCATTTGACCAATTTCATCTACTTTTGATTCTATTCTATCTATTCTAGCATTTTGATTTGACGAACGCAATCATTCTGGTTTAGTTGGTATGGGAGGGGGGAAAGCTTTATCTAACCATTGTAGTGCTTCTTCTCTACTAATATCTTTCCATTTAGGATCACCTTGACCTTCATAGAATTTTTGCATTTGTTTATAATCTTTGGGTGGAACTGGAAGGCGAGATTTTTTGGATTGTTGAGTCATTTTTGTTTCAAATTCGGCTTTTAATTTTTCAAACTCGGCTTTCTGTTTTTCAAACTCAGCTTTGGATTCAATCTTCTGTTTTTCCATCATAGCTTGGAAGGATTTTTGCATTTCATTATATGAGGGGAATACAGGTTGCGATATAATACTATCATTTTGCTTCGCTGATAATTTTTTCTTTGGTTGTGCTTGATCGAAATTTTGCTCTTCATTTAAACTAGAACGTTCGAGCCACATATTTTTCAATATAGTGAAAAATTCATTAATACCCGCTATATTTTCATTTCTCATCCAACTATAAAGCTTACGATCTCCTGATAAATGAGTTTTAAGAGTCCCTAAGACATAGGCATCATTATCTGCTACACCTAATATAAGTGGACAGATTCTGGCTTCATATGTATCTGGTGTATCATAAGATTGGAATCTTTCTTGACTCAATCTCTGAATAGCTGAATTCTTAGTTCCAATTGTTTCTCGTTGATATTTTTCATTTAACC